CATGTGTGTGTATAAGAGGTAATCATGCATGTCCTGCTGAGTTTTTCTGTGACACAGGAAGTGGTGATGTAACAAGCATACAATCCAAAAGCTTTTTCACACACTCACTGTCTCCCACTCTGCGTCTCTCACACGCTGTGTATCTGCCCCTCGGCCGCCGTGATATTTCAAGTCCTGCAATCATATGAGAGCGGTGGTTATGGTCGCGGTCTTTGAGCTCTCGGGTTGAGGCAAACACACACTCGCGGACACATTTATGGAGCGGAGGGCTCGCAGGCTGAGGCCGATTTCAAAAGAATTCACACAGCAGAGCTTTGACTCTGGACAAACAGCCTCTCTCTTTGTGGGATAATTCACTTTCCTCCAAGTCCCAAATGTATGAAAATTATACTTAATTTTAACACAATGCTTTCTATACCACTATGTTAATTTAATTTGTGAGTTTAATTCGTCACCGATTTTAAAATTTATAGCTACCAGCTACAACTTTTTTTTCCAGAACAGCACGTCATCAAAATTGTTACTTCCTCTCTGTGTCTCAGAAACATGTCCGCTGTCCAGCTCTCTAGCTGGTGACGTTTAACCAGTGAAGGTCATTTAGAAGCAAATATAAAGTCTTGTTGAAAGATGTGAGTGGATGCAGTGAGATGTGAATTCTGTGGTTTTTCTTTTTTGCTTTGTTAATTGATGAATTTACAGACAGTGAGGCACGATGACCAAGGTCATCTAGGTCCATGGCATGTGTCTGAGTAGCGAAAAACATTAAGAAGCATCAAATAAGAAATTTCAGTTTGAATACATCAATTATAAATAGCCTCCATGTAACAGATCGGTCAAATCTGACTAGAACACAAGAACAGACAGAGGCACACTCCCACACAGCCGGCTTACATCTATTGTCTGCACAGTTGGAACATTCATTGGCTGTTTGGGCTGAATAAACACAGACTGCACAACAGTGAGCAGACGTACTGTAAGGTTAAGACCAATTCATACCTGTAGCGTGTCCACGGAGGGTCCGCTCAGGTCTGTGTGACATAAATGTCGCCATCCACACATGTCTGCAAGGCTCTGTGTGCATGGATGTCCACGTGTAGCCCGACATTTGTGTCCAGGCAGACTGTCCGCGTAGCAAGCAACTGGGCATGCTCCAGATAACAAAATGCAGTCTTGTTTTGAAGAGAGGTTGTGTGAGGCGATCCGGTGTTACCAACTTTTATATGATTTTTCATTGAAACACTATAAAGACAAACAAATGGCTTTGAACTCCTCGCCCTGTTCTCCTATTCGCCTTAAGCGGTCACGCATTATATTTTCTTTAATTTCCTTCCTCTTGTTCTCTTCTTCTACTTCTTTATTTTTATAGTGGCACACAACGTTGTGGTGCATTACTGCCACCGTTGTGAAATGTGGACGCCGTAGAATGAATGGAACTGTGTGCATGTCCACACGACCAGAGAAAAGTCTGCAGCTGTTCGTGGACGCAGAAACTATGTGCATGACTTTATATTGTACGGCTGGATTTTCAGTAGTTTCCAATATTTTTGAATTAGGTTTCTTTATTGTGGAACAGAAACTGGAACTTCTAGTTTCACTTTGGCTCTCTGTAGATGTGGCCATAAAATATTTGACTAATATTTAACTTTTAAGAGATACCAACTATGTGTGATATTTACCTCTGCCAAGAAGGTTTCCAACCCATTAAATTTAGGGGCAGATCTGGATCATTCATTATAAATTAGAATTTTTTTCTCAGAAGTCTGGTTTATGTTGTTTCACATTGGCCTTGGAAGTTATAAATATGTTTAGCGAACATGTACATACATTCGATACTGTATGTTTTTAACTTGGTACATGTTCTCAGTACTGCTGCATATCTGGTTAGCATGTGACTGTTAACTTGGTTTGGTCTCATCATAGCAGAATACTAACACAGTGTGTGTGTATGTGTGTGTGTGTGTGTGTGTGTGTGTGTGTGTGTGAAGGGGGGGGGGTGCATGTTAAGAAACAGGAAGAAATGACACACACACACACATATACATTCAATGATAACTTGGTCACTTGCCACCGGGCCATTTTTACAGGATTGAAATGCCTGAAATATGCTAATGAGGTAGAAGGCTGCTCATGTGTGTATGTATGAGTGTGGTGTGTGTCTGTGCGAGGAGGAGGGCGTCACTTCACCTTATCTCCCATCCACACTACTTAAGCTCCGTGGGGCACTTCAAACAGCCTGCGAGGGGAGGTATCAGGGTGTGTGTGTGTGTGTGTGTGTGTGTGTGTTGGATGGAGGATGGTGGAGGGGTTAGCTTTTGGTACCAAGGGGAAATATGACTGTGATTTCAGACCAAATTAAGCTACATCAAACAGGCCAGATCAAAGAGTATACAGCCCTTACTGTCTGTGCCAGTCTGACATCACGACAGGATGCCCCACCCCCCAACACACACGCATAGACAAACACAGACACACACACACACACACATACGCGCACAGACACATTTCCATCCTGCTGTCCTCCTTCACCTTCATTTTTTTTCACTATTTCCTGTTTCCTTAAGTTTCTTTTCTCACATTTTCTCTCTGTTTCGTTTCCTCTACGGATATTTAGACCTCATGCTGAAATATCCCCCCGAACACAGAAACAGACACACACACAATTTGCAAGCATTTAACAGGGTTATAGGTTAACCTGGATCAAGTATAATGTAATGTGTGCTGAGGCTGGGGGTGTGAGATAGAGCAGTCATCCAGTCTAAAGGAAGTGTGGGAGGATGGGGGAGCAGCATCCATTAGAGACACAGCTTTAGCTTTGAATTGTGTTAGCAATCCTGGCTGCTCTAGTCAAACCCTTTGATGCTGCTTGATGCCAGTAGCTGTCAAGTGTTCTGTATATGTATGTGTGTGCCTCTGTGTGTCTGTGTTTGGGTAGATGGATTAGGTGGCTGCATAGGGAGGAGAGGAGGGGTGGCTGCTGTATTTGATGGAGAGACTGGAGAGACTAGGATAAGGGTGTGTGTGTGTGTGTGTCTGTGTGGATGCTTTTGTGGAAAGACAACAGGGAATATCATTGATGAGAGAAAATGAAATGGGTTGAGAGAAACATTATAAACCTCCAGAGGTACAGGAGGAGAACAAAGTGTGTGATCTGCAGAAATGTTTGTGTTAAGCTGTTCAATTAGATATTTGTTTTAAGAACCAAAAACCATCACAATATCCTTTTACATCTCCTCTCTCATGCTTCGCCTGACCCTATCCTCTGATTGGCTGACACATAGCCAGGCCAACCACAGGTAACAGTTTGTAGCCTACTACTGTAGCTTGGTAAAACCCAGTGGTTAATGCGGTCAGATTTGGACTATAATGCTGCTGTATTTCAGAAAAAATAACCTACGTATGGCCACTGGTCTGTATATTACTATCTTCAGGAAGGCTGTGCAATGATGTAATTGGCTTCCTAACAGCCATTGTCAGTATCATCATACATATCATCATCATTCAGTATCATCATGAACTGAAGGGAATCAACATTTTACTGCGTAGCTTGCCAGCTCAATGACAGAAAGACCACTTGGTGTTGTGCTGCTAATAAAGTTACAACAAAAAAAGGAACATCAGTTGGTTGGATGGTGTATCCTGGAGGGCCATGCTTTTGGCATGGCTGAGGGTTGTGACTGCTGTTTTGTGACATCACAAAGTTACAGAAGCCCTGACGGCTGGTTTTAAGGCTCAGTTTCTGAATACAGGCTGTGTGCATTTCTCTGTGGACTGAGGCTTTGATACTTTCATAGTATTAATATAGAACCTAGACCTGCTTTATAATCAAACAACACATGGAAATCTACCTTTATACAATATGGGACCTTTTTTTAATACTGAACCATAAAGTCTTATTCAGTGCAATTTCAAAAATTTACTTTAGTAAAACTACACAAATATCATCAAAATGTACCTAAAGTATCGACAGTAAAACAACACAGAATAGTCTCTTCATATTGTTATATTATTATGTGTATTATAATATTGTTTTACCATTAATGATGCAGCATCTAAATGATTAAGATGGTCATCATCAGTCCAAAACCAAAAGATAGTCCAAAAGATATTCAATTTACAAATATATAAATCAGAGAAGAGCAGCAAATCCTCATATTTAAGAAGCTGGCACCTGAGACATTAGACATTTTGTCTTAAATAAAAAAAAAAGATTTAAAAATGTAATCAATTTTCAAAATAGTAGCCAGTTCATTTTCTGTTGATCGACTAATTGATTAATTGACTGTTTTAGTGCCACAATTTTTAACCACCTTATATACTTGACAGTTGCATCTATAAACGTGTCATAGTAGTTCAGGAGACTTGTAACTATTACTGTCGAGTTAAAGAGGTATAAATCGGAAATACCCAAATAAAGTTCAAGTAGCTAAAAATTGTACTAAAGTACAGTCTTGAAGTTAATGTACTTTATAGCACTACTGTTATTAATGTTACACCGTGATTTAAAACCAAACTACTTTAACATTTAATGTCAGCAGCAAGAGAGACAAATATATATACACATAGTGATGGAGGGAGAAAAAGAGATAATTAACCAGATAATTAGATATAATTAATCAATAGAGGCTGTTAAAATGGTTTTGGTTACAGTTTGACAGTTAATGTAGAAACACAGCCGTGCCCTCATTACTCATATTTCAGTGAAATGTTAAAGAAACAGAAAAAAAAACTTGTCAACAGTTGACGACAGCCATTATAGCTGTGTAACATGCATCTGCTTAGAGCAACAACTTCAGACCCTCGGCTAGTTCAAATCCAAAACTCTGTCAGTTTAGTTGGACACAGACTTCCTGATTGTTTTCCTCTCATTTATTCAAATTTGAAGTATATCTGTCTCCTGGCACCAGCTGTAAAGTGTGGATGGAGGTTTGGCCATAACAGAATTGTTGTGTATAAATATATAATATCAATATTAACATGTCTTGTTGTCTGTGTGTTGCCAGTGCTCCTATCCTGTGTGGGAGGACTTCAGCGCCAAGGCCACTAAGCTGCATTCCCAGCTCCGGTAAGTTCCTTTGACAGACATTTACATAAATAGTCTTGTATATAAAAGAATGTAAATCTGTTTGGGAATATTGAGCAAATATTTAAATTGTTTCAAAATTATGAGATACATGTCTGCTTTAGACCATTTTTATTTACTAAAGCTGAGTGAAAAATTAAGTGTCTCAATAAAATATGCTGTTTCTCCTGCAGCTGTGAAAACGAACTATTTGCAGAATAGGCTGTGCTGATTGATAAAGCTTAATCATAATTTTATCTAAAGTAATTAGCATTTCCTGTTCATCCAGAACCACTGTCCTGGCTGCTGTGGCCTTCCTGGATGCCTTTCAGAAGGTGGCAGACATGGCCACCAACACCAGAGGTAGGATAACATCTGTATGTGTATTTGTGGATGGGTGTGTGTGGACCGGTCCAGGAAACTATAAACTGTATGCATCAGTTCTGCATATGTCCCTTTGCCAACACTGTGTTGTGTTTTGCTCTTCTGCAGTGCCCTCCACATGAGAGCACTATTAGGAATCTTATGTTGTAGCGATATTATCAACCAGCCTGCTAAATTGTCCCCGGACTGATGAAAGTGCTTCCAGCAGTGCAGACGTACATTTTGTCCCAAACTTCAAAGCATCTGGACTGCAAATGTTTATGAAGACAAAAAAAAAGACTGAAGTATCTCAGAGAGGTTGAAAAGCTATTTCTGAAGCAGGATATATTTTTGTTAGATTTGCCAATGCAATAGGAAGGTCAGTTCCACATTACAGTGAGTTGTGTAACAATGTGGGGTTTGGGAGGCTGATTCCAGCTGTTGTTTGCTGATGCCATGTATTTAAATCTGACAATTTATGAAGCATAAAAATCCTGTGTTGTGTCTTTCATCAGAGTTTTATTATTGTCTGGGTGGAAAAGCTGCCGAAACATGTGATCCAGTGAAACATAGTCTATTCCTTTAACAACAACAAGAATATGTATGTATTTAGAGCCTGGTTCAAACAAATTGTAACCGATTTAATTTGAGAGTTCAGATGCTGGTAAAGAATCAGCAAAATTCAACAACTTCTGCAAAAACTCCAGATAAGTGACAAATTAAAGGGCAAACCAAAAAAAAAAAAAAAAGAAGTTGCATCAGGTCAACAGGAGGAATTTTATACAGCAACTTTGTTGAAGGTCTCGGTTAGCATTGTATGCTGCTAGCTGCTGTTTCTCACTGGAAGTCCACGTGTGACTTTAGGTCGGTTTGTGGCAAGCATACGCTCACCCACCTGTCACTCAAAGCGGCCACGCTCTCAATAATGTATAACTTGAAGCCTTAATACAATTTAAACAGGTGAGTTATAAAAAAATTCACCCCCTGTACCTGTACTTTTTTTTCTACCCAGCTGTAAACATGTTTATTTCTGCTGTAAATTTGGGCATTTTAACATGAGAGTCTATGACGATTAACTTTTTTGGAGCCAGCCTCAAGTGGCCATTAGAGGAACTGCAGTTTTTGGCACTTCCAATGTTGGCTTCATTTTTCAGCCCTTCGGAGGCTGCAGATTGGTTAAGACAGGCATGTGGTTAGCCAGTGTTGACAATACAAGGACAACTGTCACAAACAAACTATATTTTTTACTGGTTTCTGGCAAGTTGCTCCATTTCTAAATAAAAAAAATGTCCATAATTCCTCTATTGTCACACTGTGGCATTATGTTTTCCACCCCTCCTGCATCACACACGTTCTTGGTTGTTTCTAAATCTTTTGCAAAGCCAGTTGAGATTGTTTTGATATTTTGAATGCAAAACTCAACGTGGTGTTTTTCCTGCACTGCATTCGGCCAAAAGAACTCACTGAACTTTATTGAATCATGGTCAATGGATTGTTTTTTTTTTTTTTTTGTTTGTTTTTTTTTTTTCTTTTTTTGGGAGGCTTGACACACTTGATATTCTGTGTAGGCTTAAAGCTTGGCACTAGTTTTGACAGAGTGTGGGCTGAGAGCTGAGAAGGTCAGACAAACACTCACCGCCCACTGAAGGCGATCTGAATACTATGGTACCACTGAGGGAAACTAGGAATACGACTGAGGCTGTTGCAACTTATTAGGTGCAGCTGCCAGACACAGTATGTGATGGTGATGTGCTTTTGTGTGTGTGTGTGTGTGTGTGTGTGTGTGGCCCCAGGTGGGCTCCTATAGAGGAGGATGGAGGAAGAGGTTCGTGTTGCTTTTACAGGCCAGACAGGAAATCACCGTGCTCTGTCAGCTCATTACACAAGCCCCTACCACTGCCACACATGCAGAGAGGCCGAAATATAACAAATGATGTTGGCACAAAGATGCAGACTGTGCATCAGACGCTCTTTGTACTTTCTATACTGATGAGTCATTCCTGTTGAAGTCCATTTGTCAGATTGCTGTACAATTGCTGCTCTTTCACAGTGTGTGATGTTCTCTAATAGATTTGTTAAATGGATGGAGGCGGGAGACGACACCAATAATGATGCTCTCTGTCTTCCTTCCCATTCGCTACATCAATGTGCTACTTATTACAGTGTGTGTATGTATGTGTGTGTGTGTGTGTGTGTGTGTGTGTGTGTGTGTGTGTGTGTTCGAGCCCAAAGGGTACTGATGATCCTGCGCTCTGCTCTTGTACTGACATTCCCATTTATGAGCCTCTATTGGCTGTTTCCATTCTGCTGTCCAAATTTTATGTCAACTGAAATCTATGTTTTCATCAGCTGGTGGAAATGAAAGAGACTGGCGCCCTGCCGGAGCGGACGGTGCTGTCGCCTCACAGCGAGAAGGTTCTGGGTTTGACCCTGGGGCCTTTCTGTGTGGAGTTTGCATGTTCTCCTCATGCCTGTGTGGGTTTCATCCCCGCACAACCCAAAGACGTGCAGGTTAGGTTAATTGGTAACTCTAAATTGCCCGTAAGTGAAAATGTAAAGTGAATTGTTTGTCTCCTGGCGACCTGCCCACCTAGATAGTAAAATGAAACTTCTGGCCCAGTATACACCTGGTTTCCACGGCCCCACTCAGACCCATATACTTCCACATCAGGGTAGATTCCAGCTGTTATCCTCCGGATACTGGCTGACAACCAGAACATTTTCTGTGTGTACACCAGAATTGGGCCAGATGTGGAAGTGGCAACCATCTGACAACCATGCTGTATATGGGTCAGACTTGGGCCATAGAACCGGGCCATATATAAGGCCAGAAGAAACACAAGCACGTGGCCCAAGTATATGCCACATGTATCATGCTATCTGGGCGGGGTGTACCCACCTCTCCACCCAGTGCTAGCTGGGATTGGCTCCAGCCAATAATTATTTGTTCTGTACTTTTCACATGGTCATTGAGAGCATGTTAGCTTGCTGATGTTAGCGTTTACAGAACTGCTATAAGAGGCCTCCAGTATGGCTGTAAACTCTCAGTATTTCTCTTAGCTTCTTTCCCAGGGGTTATATGAGAATGTGGATCAGAAGAATTGAATAGTATTTTAAAGACAAGTTAGGGAATATGAGCACCAACCAACCACCAGCAACTTTCAGTGGAGTCTCCTGATATAAAGACAAATGTAGGGAATAAGGGACATTAAATCCTCATTGATCCTCTTTCTGTTATAGTAATTTATTGACTCTGTTCTGTAGGATTATGTGAAATTCTGTACACTAAAGTGGTAACACACACACTGAACAAGGCTGTTTACGGCATTACACTCTGTGTAAGGTGACCAGTGGGAAATAGTCCAGCAAAAGTGGGACTAGCAGCTTTGTCCCGCTTGGATCTTGTCCAGGCCTCATTTTCTGCCGGGCCCCTGATGTGTAGGTGCCAGATTTATTCAGCTTTCTTTTCCAATAGATAAAGTTAAAGAAGGCAGCAGAGAGAGTGAGAGAAATAGTTCTACTTGTGTTTGTGATGGTGTGTATATGTGTGTGTGTGTGTGTGAGAGAGAGAGAGAGTGAGAGAGAGAGAGATCTTTAGCGAGGAGGTAATATCCAGCAGGAGGAAATGTGGAAGTGTTTGTGAATTCTCTGGTGAGGGGTGAATTGGAGTGCACTCTCAGATGTGCTCTCTGCTCCCCTCCCATAGCCCAAACTTTCAGTTTCCCTAGGGCAACCTGACCTGTGTGTGTGTGTGTGTGTGTGTGTGTGAGAGAGAGAGAGAGAGGGAGAGAGAGTGAAATGAAAGCACATAAGCACACAACATGCCCGCTTCACTGATCAGTTAAGTCAGTGGGGGCCCTGTGTGTGTGTGTGTGTGTGTGTGTGTGTGTGTGTGTGTGTGTGTGTGTGTGTGTTTCCCATGTTTAATAACCTGTCCATTTGGCACTGTTAAACACTCCTCTTCATCCCTGCTTCATTATTAGTGCAGACACACACACACACACACACACACACACACACACACACACACACAACATGCCCTTATTCACACACTCAGATTTCTTCCAGCCTTTCAAGTCGTACAAACAGTCTATGCTTCATTTTAGGCTTTCTAAACATGGTCTCTTGTCAGTTTTGTTTTGGCTGGAAACTGATTAAATTTCTGCTAAAAAGCTGAAAGCTCCATGATAGAGTGGCTCCAGATTCAGCTGCTGTTCCATCCAGTAGCTGTGGTTTATTGGCCTTACAGGCTTTTTTGATGGAGAGTAAGACCACAGGCTCTGTTCTGTCTCTGGTCAGATGATCTTATTTATATTAACTGGAAACAGGCCCACTCATAATGAAAACACAGACATTTTAGTTTTTAGTTGATGTTTGTCCGGCCATTTCAGAACGCAGCATTTGGAGTGAGATCTTGTAGTTTTGGAAGCTTGTCTTAAATTTGCTAAGCAACCTCAGTGCTTTGATGGCCTACAGGAAACACACACCACTGCACACTGGTTGAAGAGGCCTTAACACACGTGTGCAGATCAGGGAAGAAGAAAATCAAGAAAAATCTTTGTCACCTCCACCAAGGAGGTTAGGTTTTTTGTTTGTTTGTTTGTTTGTTTGTTTGTTTGTTTGTTTGTTTAGCAGCAGTATTACACAAAAGGCACTGAGCTGATTTGCATTAAACTCAGTGAAGAAATGGGGGATGGGCCAGGGAGGAACCCATTAAATTTGATGTGGATCTGGTTAAAGGGGCGGGATCCAGGAATTTTTTAATCACTTTCTGTAACATTGCGAGATAGAGCATTTTTCAACACTTTTCATCAGTAATGTTTGAACCTTGACGTAAAAAAATCAGACTTATTTATGGCGTTGGCTTCAATGAGTTTGTACAATTTGGTGGAAGAAAATGTTTGGCCTTGGCAGAGGTATGCGCTCTACTGAGAGTCATTTCTAGTTATAAAACTCTTCGTTTATGCCACAATAACCATCTGTTGTGCATTCTTGGACTG